CCAAATACATAATAATTTGTCTCTACAGCCACTCCTAAATCTCTCCTGTCTCTCCCACTCACTCCTTCCACTACTGAAAGAAGTGAGCTGAATAAAGATCCAAATTCCCTTGTTTGACACTTTAATGGGATTCATGTACTAGTGCAGGAAAATGGGAATGTTAGTCGGCCCCATTGAGTGCTTAAGGGTTAAACAAGATGTATTGTGTCCAGTTCTGGACCCCCCGCTACAAAAAGAATGTGGACACACTGGAGAGGGTCTAGCGGAGGGCAACCAAAATGATTAGGGGGCTGGAGCATATGACCTATAAGGAGAGGATGAGGGAGTTGCGTCTGTTTAGTCTGCAGAAGTGAAGAGCGAGAGGGGATTTGATAGCAGCTTTCAACTTCCTGAAGGGAGGTTCCAAAGAAGATGGAGAAAGGCTGTTCTCGGAAGTGACAGATGGCAGAACAAGGAGCAATGGTCCCAAGTTGTGGTGGGAGAGGTCCGGGATGGATATTAGGAAAATTTATTTCACTAGGAGGGTGGTGAAGCACTGGAATAGGTTACATAGGGAAGTAGTGGTGTTTCCATCCCTAGAGGTGTTTAAGTCTCGGCTTGACAAAGCCCTGGCTGGGTTGATTTAGTTGGGATTGGTCCTGCCTAGAGCAGGGGGCTGGACTTGATTACCTTGTGATGTCCAGCTCTATAGTTCTATGATTCTATAGCAGCAAGCAGACCAACCTCCTCCTCATTTCATGCATTTATACCACAGTATGGGCCACATCGGTGAGATAGACAGAGGGAATGCCCAGTTCGAAGAACCCACTGAGGCTTGGGTTTGAGATAGGCACTTCCATGCCTAGACTAAATTAGCTGCGCGCACGCCCACTGGCAGACTCATAATCCCACCACGTGAAATATAAAATCCCATCTAGGATTTTAGATGCCTGCCAAATTAGGTGACAGTTAAGTGGGCATTTTTACGATCATAGTGGCACCTATATGTTAGACTGGAGCATCCCAATCCTTTTGTTGTCTATTTTTTTTTCTATTTTGTTGTGACATCTGATTAAAATATGACCATGTAGATAACTGTTGCAACCACTGTTATATGTTTGCAATGAATCTTATACAAAGGTTATTAAGAGAAAATGACATACTAGTACATATATATCCATGCCTCTAATTTCCACTCCAATGCATCTGATGAATTGGCTTTTACCCACAAAAGCTTATGCCCAAATAAATGTTAGTCTTTAAGGTGCCACAGGACTCCTTGTTGTTTATTAAAAGATTATGAGTGACAGGTTATACTGATTAGGATTATGCTATTTGTATGCACACATGTATCATTTGTGCATTTGCAGTTAAAAGTATTGGCTCTTTACCTATATTTCAAAATGTTTGCTCCTGGAGAAACACCCTCAAAATATTTAGGCAGCACATTTTAAAGGAACTATTCAAATTGAGTGACTCATCAAAAGGACACTTAACTCACAATGAAGCATGGGAGTCATCCGGCAAATACAATCTAGCTAGTGTAATTCCAAGATGTTCCATTTTATAAACTCCCCAATCCCAATTAATTTGGGAAATAAAGGCTCTATTGTATTTAACTTTTCTATTATTGTACTATACGGAGGCCTGAAACAGAATGGGATATATCATGCTTGCCAATATACAAACAGATAAGCATTGATTTAACACAGCCCTTATGCATATGCATACCAATTATGGGTGTACCAACCCCACACTGGTGAGGTGAGGCTTAAGGAGTTGCTCTGGAGCAGGAAGCCATGCTCCCTTGTTCTTGCATCGCATGCTCCCAGTGGAAGAAAAACTCAATACAGAGCAACTCAGCTCAGTCTGGATGGACAAAGCAGAAAAGTTGGGTGCTGCAGTCTCCTGTAGAGAAGCTTCCAGGGCTCCAAATGGCTGGGACTGTTCTGCATAGTCAAGCTACGGGCCTTTCAACTGCAGAGGCCAAAGATGACAAGCCCCTGCTGAAAGGGGAAGATGCTCTGGAGAGTGACGCACGGGGGACACCAACACAGGTGTAGCACAGACAGAGGAACACAAACAGGGTAGGAAATGACCTGCGGAACCAGCGTAAGGGCACACCCTTCTAGACCATGTTTTGGAGCCATTATTTTGAAGGGCCCTGGCTTAGAACACAGTGGAATGGGATGAGCCTGAGTTCCCCTACCCTCAGTTACGGACTCTTGTGATCACATGACAAACATGGTAGAGAGGTTAGCATTTTCAATGCAATTCTAACATGTTATGTCACAAGAAGCTCTGTTCTCTGTGGCTATGTCTACACAGCAACATTATTTTGAAATAACACGCGTTATTTCGAAATGACTTAGTCCGCATCTACACAGCCGGCAGTTATTTCAACATGATGTCGAAATACTGTCAAGTTGGAGGACTTCTTCCTCTGACTCCGGTAACCCTCATTTTATGAGGAGTAAGGGAAGTCGGAGTAAGAGTGCTCTATTTCAAAATAAGTGCTGTGTAGACAGCACCAAAACTCGAAATAAACTATTTCAAAATAAGCTACCCAAGTGATGTAGCTCAATTTGTGTAACTTATTTCGAGTTAAGGCCTGATGTATAGACGTACCCTATGGGTCACCCCAGCACATAGAGCCTGCTCAAGGAAGTCAGAACTAGGATTTTTCAAGAGCTCAGCATTCACCTAATTCTGCTCCTATAGAAGCCAGTGGTAAAGTGTCCATTGACGTTTTTATGAGCAAAGCTGTGCCAGTATTGAGCACTTTCAAAAATCCCCTCCTAAGGGCTGCAGTGGAACTGAAATGATGCATGAGCTCTGCACTGGAGTGAATTTCACTGTGTGAACATTCCAAACGCTGCATGAAGCTAATTGCACACACTCGTCCTTAGCTATATGCAACAGGGTCATATTATATAACAAAGAATATATCTTGGATCTAAAGGCCAGATTTTCAAAAATACCCAGCATGCAGCAATTTCCATTCTTTGCAATGACAGCTGCTGAGCGTGTAACAGTTCTGCCCCCCCATGCTTTATGAAAATTGGCTTATGAATATAAATATGCATAACTCAAAGATGCTTTAACCAAAATACCTCATGTAACCTATTCATTTTAATGTTAATCTGCTGGATCAGTATAGCTTATTTTGGTGCATGTATCATTCTTGTATGTAAAGTTAGAAATATAAAGCATAACACTGTTTATGGTTTTAAATATGCTAAAGAAGTTATTACTGGTGGTCAGGAAGCCTTAACAACTGGGTGGATAACTTAATGACTTGTAAACTGCACTGTTTGTCCTGAGTTCAAAGGTGAGTGAACTAATAAAACATCTGACCATACCACTTGGTACTGGGATTCCATTTTTGATCCATATATTTTATATATTTGTTAGGCTAAGGTGCTACAGGACCTCTCGTTGTTTACGATTTTTTGACCCAGGTAGTTTTCCATGTAAGGAGGAATATAGCGCAAAAGATTCCTGCCCTGGGGGGAGGATTATGGAAGCAATGGGAAGCTATCAAGTCTTTGGCTGGCGTGATACACTCCAAAAGACGCCTGGATATCCAGGTTAGAAGAAAAGACCATCTTTCACCTGAAGATTATGCCTAGAACAAGAACAGCTCTTTAGGGCTTCACCTACACTGCAGAGGTTTTGCACAAGAAGCTTTTTGCGGAAGAGTTCTTAGGCAAAAACTTATTGCGCAAAAGCGCATCCAGACCTCAAAGAGCATTGCAAAAGCAATGTGCTTTTGCATAAGAGAATATCCACACTGCATGGACACACTTGCGCAAGAAAGCTCTGATGGCCATTCACAGAATGGTCATCAGAGCATCTGTGCTTTTTCCCATAGGGGTTTCCAGCAGAAAAACCCCTCCGGAGCGTCCACACCTGCCTTTTTGCGCAAGGGCTGTAGCACAAAAAGGAGTTATTCCTCATGGGGAGAGGAATAACTCTACTGGCAAAAGCCCTTTGTTCTGTCGATTTTCTTGCACAAAAATGTGCTTGAGGTGTGGACGTTCTGACGTTTTTTGCACAAAAACCTTGAACTATAGACATAGCCTTGGGTAAGAAATTACTTGCAATAACTTTTTTAGTAAATTAGAACTAGCTATCCATTTTCTTTTCATTTTAAACTTAGTAACATACTTTGACCTGTCTGTTTTCACTTGCAACTACTTAAATCTTACTGTTTGTACTTAAACACTTTAATTGTTATCTATGAAGGCTGGCCAGTGTGCATCTCTCTTTCATTGATAAGAGGGTGACCATTCTCATGAGTTTTCTTTGTGTAAAACTTTTACTCAGGAAAAGAGGAATTTATTTGGCATTTTGATTCCTTTGCAGATTGGTTTCCTGAGTACCATTCCCTAGAACTGAATCCTCCCAGAGCTGAGCTGGTTCAGTGTCTGCATTTCTCTGATGGGTGCAGTTACAACAACTGTGCCTTGTCTGGGGGAAACCAGGGAATCTTGCCCAGCAGAATAGGATGGTGGGGAATCCCAGAGAGCAAGAAAGTAGGTGGCAGTGCCATAATCAGCATTCCAGGGTATAGCCCGAAAGGGTTTTCTGTGACTGCACCCCATCACAGAAAGCTTTAAAAGATCTACCTCTAGTTGTGCATGCTGTGAAAATTGAGCAAAGCTGGCCCTAAAATGTGCCGTTTTGAAAGAGCATTTTTTAAAACTAGGCAGTACATAAAAAATATAAAATAGCAAATCCACCATTTTTACTTTATGAAGATATCAAAAGAGTGCAATTCTAAGATATGGAACATTTTCCTTTGATTCCATTCCAAGATTGTGAAGTAGGATTAAAGTTACCTTTCTACAAAATATTCTGCCTTCCTTTCTGCCAAACATTTTTTCCTGATCACATTGCTTTACTCTGATTTACGTGAGTTTTGGCTTCAGGAATCAATGGCCATTGCTGAATGCAAATAGGCATGCAAGAAAATTATATTGTTTGCACAATTGATCTTTTATCATTTAAAAATGTACCTTTTAAAATTTCTTGTAACGTTAGCCTGAAATACTGCCAGCGCTGAGTGTCATCCAGTGAAGCAGGGTCACTTTGGGAAAACCCATTCTCAGTGATGTAAATTATAGGATTATTGTATGTATCCTAGAACAATAGAGCAGAAGTTTTTTTCACAATAGATGTAAGAAAACCCATAAAATCAGATGCATTATTCTCTGTCTTCTTAAAGCTACAACCCAAAACTATTTTTCAAATTGCACTGACCCTATTAACTTAATTTTCTATGTACTGACCATGACTAACAATGGAAAAGGAAAAATGTGCAAATATCCATGAAGACAGTGAAATGACTTATTTTAATGAAAACACAAAAATATCTTTCCTGCATTAGCATCTGCTTCTTGTCACTGCTCCTTCACCCCTTGGTACTAGCAATCACAGCATAACCCACTGCCAGCAATGGGTTGCATGCCAGGAAAACTTGACTGCTGGCATCCAAAAGATTGTTTTTGAAATTCAACAGATGATAGAACACTCACATGTCATTTAAAGTTGTAACTCATATTCAGTATGAGTTGTCAAGTGGAATAGCAACAAAAAACCTCTAAGTCTTTACCTCTCTTGGTAGTTATGATGCAAAAATTAAACCGAGAATCTCCAATCAACTTGTTTACCCTACTGCATGGTGCCTTTCGCTACAGCATGTGAGTGTCTCTCAATAACCGAGTCCCCTATATTGCACTGCACAAATCCTTTTCCTTGGTGGTCCTTAGATACCTAAAAATCTGGATGATCAAGTAAATCTCATACCCTACCTTGATATAGTTCAGTAGTTTACGTAAACCCCATGGTACTACTGCCAGCCATGAACTGCCAGAAGCACAAGGCCAGGAATGGTCCATTATTTGTTCAGCTTCTCTGTCCCCAGAAACACTTGGCTCACTGTGTGTATTTTCTTGATGCTTTACTTTGCGGGTAGTATAATAATTTAGGGCAAAAAAGTCAGCAGTTCCCTTGATCATCAGCTTTTCTTCCTCAGTAAATTCTGGAAGTCTTGATGACAGGTAGCCTTGCTTTGTACTCATTTCAGAGATCTGGGATTTCATGATGGCTGGATAGTCACCACTAATAAATATGGGTTCAGCAAACCAGTTTAAGCAAAAAGCCATATACCTTTTAGTAGCTTCCTGGTCTGCCAGAAATGTTGGATCTAGAGGTTCTGCCCAATCTGAGTTTAGCGCTATAGACAAGAGCCCGTTTTGCTTTCTTCTAAATAACAAATCATAACTGTGCCAGACTTTAGCATGAGCCTTTATCATGTTATGAGCTGTCTGGTAAGCTCCTGTACCAGGTTCCTTTATTCCTGGAGCCACAATGCCTTTTTCATAGCCATCTTTAGCAACTACATACGGCTCATTCATAGTGACCCACAGTTTCACTCGGTCTCCAAATGTTCTGAAGCAAAACTGTGCATAGTTATCAAAGGCCTCGGTAATTGCATCAGAGCTCCAGCCTCCTTGATCTTCTAAATGTTGAGGTAGGTCAAAGTGATATAATGTCACCATGGGCACAATGCCATTTTCCAACAGGTCATCAATGATCTTGTCATAGTAATCAACACCTGAAAAAAGTTAAAAGAAAAAAAGTTGACTTTTCATATTTTAATATCTTAAAAATGCAAAACCCTCACTTACAAATAATAAAAAATTTCATTATCACAGCATTAGTTTTCTCTCTTACCTATCATCTCATAGACATCTGCTAAATATATTTCCAAACCAGAGAGACTGATTTTCAGAAGTTGTCTGCACCCAACAACTGCCATTTAAGCACCCAAAGAGACCACATTTTCAGAACTAATCAGGGCACAGAAGCTTTCTCTGAGAAAAGTTGGAGCAGCTGGAGGCTTTATCAACTAGCTTAAGTTAATGATTGATTTTATATACAGGCAGTCCCCGGGTTACATGGATCCGACTTACATCAGATCCCTACTTACAAACGGGGTGAGGCAACCCCGCACTAGATGCTTCCCCCCAGCAGACCAGGGAGACGCGACGCTAGCGCCCCACCCCCCAGCAGACCAGGGAAACGTGGAGCGGCTTTTCTCAGCAGACACCTCAGCTTGAGAATAAAGGACTGAGGGAAGTGAGGGGTGGGAGAATAAAACTGAGCTCTGGAGAAATGTTTGGCTAGAGTTTCCCCTACAATATGTACCAGTTCCGACTTACATACAAATTCAACTTAAGAACAAACCTACAGTCCCTATCTTGTACGTACCCCAGGGACTGCCTGTAGCTGGGTGGTCACTGTAAACTAAAGCTGCTGCTTGGGCACTTAATGCTTTTGGTTTTTTTAGTTTTGTTTAACTATAAATAAATAAAACTAAATAGCTGTCAAGACTCCTTAGAACTCTAGGTATTGTATCATATGAAAAACATGGTGTTACTTTTTCAGATGTGAGCTAACAGCTTTCTCCCTCACAAAAACCTTCTGACTTTAGACTTTTCCACTTGCACGCCTACTAATATTAACTTTGAATTACTACAGGTTCAACGTCGCTGGACTAGCACCCTTGGAATGTGACTGGTCCTTAACAGAGGAGGTCTACTTGTCCCCTCTGCTGCTGGCTTCTAAGCTCTCCTGGGGGGCTGTCAGCCTCCAGGCTGCAGAACCCCACTCCCAGGCTCCCCTTATGGTCACCAATCTTGCTACCAGTCCCTGCCCCTGGGCTGCCGGCCCAGATCTGCTCCCAGCCCCATTCGGGCCCCTGGATTCCCAGTTGGCCCCTGCTCCCAGCTGCCAGGGCTCTTTGGTCCAGGAACTCTGACAGACCACGGGTGTTGCTGGCCCAGAGATTCAACCTGTATTTATTTTGCAGTTTAAACTCAAAGGATCTAATCAGACCAGAAGGCATCTTATGCCAGGTGTCATATAAACAGGCAATTTTTAAAAGTAAATTCATGTAAGTGACATAGGTTCCTAAGTCCCATTTCAAAGTGATTTAGGCACTTACAGGAAAAAATCTCATTTGAGTCATTAAGACATAAGCTCATAGATCTCTCTTGTAAATGGAACTTAGGTCCTCTTTCAAATTTTTACTTGACGTCTTATTAGATAGGAGCCTAAATAGGGATAAGATGACAGTTTGAAGACTTGAATACCATGAAGGAAAGGAGCTAAGTATATGATTTGGAGACTAAAGGGTTTTTTTTAACATTGGTACGAGAGATGTTTGAATCACTAACAGGCCACCCTTATTAGTAACTGAATGTGTTGGTACTATGCAACTATTTCTTTGTACTGGTTGTAAGATTCAGTGTCTACTAACATTTTAAAAAAATGCAGACACAGATGCCCTAGTCTATATTGTCAGTAGACAGCTAGTTTTAGGTCTTAAAATTATCCTGCTTTCACAGTTGTACCATATGGTTGGTCTTGTCTCAAGGATTCTAGTCACACTCTTCTTGTTTGTAGTCACATCTGATGCTGCAATAAACTGAGAACCTCAGACTTAGTGTTCATCTTCTTCTGAACAAACCAGTATCTATACATCCGCTATCACAGAAAGATTTAATGGGTTTGTTTGCAATAAATTTGGCAGGCATTTTTTCCCTCTAATTGCAACCCATAAGAGTTAGGGGAGATTCATGTGAATGTCTGGGGGCAGAATTCATCAAAAATTTCCTGTAATTCTTAAAAAAATAATTTCAAAGTTCAAACTCATTAAGGCCTCTTTGTGAATCCTTTACTCCCTGGAAATTGATAATAGGTAGCCTGAGTGATTTTTTTTAACAGATTACTCAGTAGAATTTAGGAAATTTAAAATCAATCCATTTTCCAGATTTCAATTAATTATTGAGCGCCTTATAATCTTGTGTGAGACAGAGAAATGCAACTATGTCACTGACAATCATTTGTGTCATAAAATATAGCTGGTGACCTGACAATGCTAAGCCTGGGCTGATGTCACTTTTACATTTATACCTACCTATCATTCAGATGAAAGAGCAAAGCAGGGCAGCACATGGAGTTCTAGCAATTTGTGCATATGTGTTCTAAGGTGAGACCACATCTTTGGTATATTCTAGTAAGGACCAATTTGGCAGTAGGAAAGGAGGAGGAAAATATACTTCATGTCACCAGCTAGCCAGGAAAGAGATGGGTGAAAGCCTGGAGGAGAGTGGGAGTGTATGCCACTGGAGTTGGTGTGAATTCCCATGCGATTCTGAGATGGGGGTATTGTTCATTCTGCTAGGGATGCAGGCTCCATTTCTCTCTTCTTTCCTGCCTCCCTCTCTCTTGGTTCTACCCTAATTTTGAAGACAGGTATAGAAGAGAATTATGTGCTGGGTCCAATAAGCCAAACACACAGTCTGCCAGTCCTGGTTCCCTCCTTATTGCAATCTGCCATTCTGTAACTAACACACTACACTCTTTGTAGGACCCAGGACATAAAAAAAACTGTAAAACAAAAACAGCTATTACATAAAAAATAAACTCACAGTAGGTTGAAACCTGATATTTTATAGGAGTAACACCCCTATAACATTGTCCCCTTAGAAGCAACCCCCCTTTTGGTTGGAAAACAAAATTTAAAGGTTTTCCAAATGTCCCTTGTTTTAGGTATGAAATTGGTAGTGAATCAATTCATGTGAATGTTTTTTACTGGAATAGACATTGCTTTAAGGTTTCTAATTTTTCACACACTCTTTGTAGAAATGTTTATACGGAAGATAGTGGCCTTTCCATGATATGCAGCTACAATTGCTTCAGATCACTGCACTGAGTTCCTGCCTAATGAAAAGCCCTTCCGATGCCCTTTCGCTAAATGTAAAGTTCATAAAATTAATCAGGCAGCTGTTTAAAAAATGGATCAAGTGAACATTTTCAAAAATGTTACTTGTTTGATCAAAATGTTAGCTTTTTTTCTTACCAACTATATGGCTGCTCACTAGGGGTATGTCTACACTACCCCGCTAGTTCGAACTAGCGGGGTAATGTATGCATACCGAACTTGCTAATGAAGCCCGGGATTTGAATTTCCCGGGCTTCATTAGCATAAAGCCGGCGCTGCCATTTTTAAAAGCCGGCTAGTGCGAACCCCGTGCCACGCGGCTACACGCGGCACGGGCTAGATAGTTCGAACTACGTAGCCATTCCGAACTATCTGTACTCCTCGTGGAACTTCAAATCCCGGGTTTCATTAGCAAGTTCGGTATGCATACAGGAAATTCAAATCCCGGGCTTCATTAGCAAGTTCGGTATGCATACATTACCCCGCTAGTTCGAACTAGTGGGGTAGTGTAGACATACCCTAGGTCCTGCCCTCAAAAGGTAGGTGTATGGCATAAAACTAGTGCTAGCAGTGCTACCTGTGTATCCTTAGTTCTAGAGGGAAAAAAACTAAGGATACTCAGCAAAATTTCCATTTGCCACAAAAGATATCCAAACTAAAAAGCAAATTCTTCCCCATGACACAGGCTTCGTGCTTAGAAATTCTGGTGATGGAAGTAAGGAATCTTCCTATGAGGCTGCTCTGGAAGGTGGGAGAAACTCCTGCACCATGTTGTGCAGGAGGGAGTGGCTGGTTGGTCTGCCTCAGTGGTTGCATCAACACTCACTCATAGTTCCTGCATCTTACCCTCTCTTTATGACAGAAGTTGTGATTTGCAGAATGCAGGAGGTGTGGAACTGTCTGCACTGGCAACTCAGCAAAATGCTATTGGTTCTGTGTGCATGGATCTGCACAGCCCTGGAGTGGAAAATTTGCTAATATCCAGGGTGAAAGCTGCCCCAAGGACAAAAGATTGGATAGGAATGGGGAGTCCAGATTACAACAAAGAAGGGGTAAGGAAATCTTTAGACACAGCTGTCATCCAATTCTATTTCCTTTTATTTTGTATGGGACATTTTCCTTCTGAGGATGGCTGTTTATTCAAACACTTCCTCCTACTCTGTTCTTCACAGTCTCTCTGATGTAACTTCACTCCCCCTAGTCTTCACACTCACCTCTAATCCTCCTCACCCTGTTTCCCTTTCCTCTGCATTCAATATTGCCTTTCCCCCTTGCTGAGTCTCTCACTAGACATATTTGAAATTAAAAAGCAGAGCTAATGTGGAACGAACATATTTGCCAACCATCAATTTGATCACTCTGTGTGTACACTGCATCTTTTTTTCTCCCACCCTATTTTTGTCTTATACTATGTAGTCTCCTTGGAGCTCTTTGTAGTCTCTTTTTCTCATTTGTGTTTGCACAGCACCTTGCATAATACCTACCCACTCCTTACTGAACCTACAACCACTATGGAACACAAATTATAAAAATGACCTGTGAAAACCCCTCTCCCTGGCCAGCTAAGGAGTATATTGCTTAAGTATGTGAAGAAAACTCTACCCTGGTTCGACAATCTATGCTATTCAGTGTTCAATTCAGAATGTCAGTAGATTATGCTGATACAATATCCTCATGCATCTACCTATACTGGCAAATATGGGATGGATTGATTTTGCTTATTTATATGCCATGAGAGTTTTTCTCTTATTTGCTTAGCAAATTCCACAAGGGTTCATTGTAACTTTACACAATCCCATGAAATAGAATAACTTATAATCACTTTTTAAAAATAAATTAAAGCAGGCAAAAAATACATGGTAGAAAACATCATACTCCTCCCATCCCAAAAGATCACGCTATCCAAGGGGATCTAGAGTATTAATTAGGAAGTTGTTGCAAACCTATAAAAAATCATCCCATAATTACTCTGAAAAAAAGTTGCAATTTCAAAGCTTCACTACAGAATAGCATACTGGATTAATTATGCCAGACTGCAGCAATAACCTTGAATTAAAGCTGCAACCTTCTATTTTTAAGAAACAATTGCCTTTCTGGTTGATGAAACCTGTCGTCCCATCAGGTAACAGACGTGACCAGGAAAGAGAAAAGCGATAATGAGTCAATCCAAGCTGTTTGATACATTTCAAATCTTCCTCCCACAGAGTGTAGCTGCCACAAGCTACATCACCAGTCTGGTTCTTGAAAACTCGATCTCCTCCCTGATGGGTGAATGTGTCCCAAACATTAGGGCCCTTTCCATCTGCATTCCAGCCTCCTGATTAAAAACAAAACTGAATCATTACACTTTTGACATCAAAAGACATATGTTGAATGTAAATATCACATAAAGTAGACACAGAATCTCAGTTCCCTTGTAAGCAAAACCAGGAGGGTTTTCTCCAGTTCTCACTTAAAATGAATATTTTTTTTCTCAAGCTATAGAACATTTGTATTAAGTTCTGCATTTATTCATGGTTTTCTCATTTCTCGCTATTTGAAAAATCTGTTTCAAATAGCACTTACAGACGTTCTGACACCCTGCATATTATTTTTAGCCAAAGATCAGATACTTGTGAATCTTCTGAGATATTAACAAAAAGTATTTGTTAATGCAACTTCCACCCATGAATGTAAAAGATCTGTCCATATCAAAGAAAGCCTTTAGGATATGAGAAATACATCCAACAAATAGGCACTTATGGCTTTCTGGATGTCCTTTGAAAGTCCTGACAGTCTGTTAAGAAGAAAGGAATGCCATTATGAGCCATGGCCTTAGGCATGTATAACATGAATTAATAACAAAGCTCTGTGAAACTTCTGCCTTTTGCTTAGACAAACGATCATGGAAAAACTGCAAAGATTTCCCATAACTTAATTTTTATACTAAATGTTCACAATCTTTGCATCATTTTCTGCATTCTGATTATGCTAGGATATGTTGTAGTGCTTTTGAAAACTGGGGTACAGAAATCGTCTTTAAAAAAATCAGTATATAGCCATATGTTGACATCTGAAATTCCAGAGTATAAACTGAATAAATGCAGGTTTCTACATGACAATCATTGCAGTCTTTGCAAAACCATGTTGTCATGTGTGCAAATGTTTAATGTGAAAAACCCTAGAAATCTCCATCCCTGCAAAGTATGGTTAAATCACAAAACACAGAATATGCCAAAATTCTCCAATTTCCTTTACAAGCAACATTTTTCAAAGCTACAGTTAATGCATACTTCCTGGGTTACTGTCTGAAAACTAAAATGACACTGTAGGTTAAAATTGTGTATAAATTAAATATCAGTTGGCTGTAAGATTAATACTTATATAATAGCTACGTATCAATCCTCAGTAAAAGTGTTTTAATAATCAATTAGTATCATAGAAATTAGAGATGGAAGAGCCCTATTAGGAGGTCAACCAGTCCATCCCCTGCCAATGTGAGATTGCTCCCTAAAGTATACTTAGTACTTAATGCACATCTGTCTTGTTAAATTTAAGTTTAATGCAAGGTTAAGCATATTGCAGACACTTAATTTAAAGCGTTACTAGAATCTGTAATATCATTTCTATAGCCTAGTTTCTGAAAGATCATTGTCATATTTCATGTTCTTTACAGAATTTTGTAACAGCACACAAGCACCCATATGGCTACATAAGGTTATCCAGTAAATTGAGCTCTTCTCTGGGACAGCCTTCACACCAGGATCATTTTTAGATCTAACAATTCTGAGGCCAAGTCTACTCTAGAGGGCAATGTTGAACTAAGGTACACAACTCCAGCTATATGAATAATGTCGCTGGAGTGGATGTACCTTAATTCGAGTTACTGCAGCATTTCCACTGGGGGGAAACAGGGTCAAAAGGATAAACTCTTCCACTAAAGTTTCTCCCGTTGACTCCCTTTACTCTTCTTGCTCCAGTGGAGTGCTGGAGTTGACAGGAGCATGATCGGCGATTGACTTAGTAGGTCTTCATTAGTCAATTTAGTTGGGTCTTCATTACCTTATATATAGATCACTGCATATATCTGCAGATAGTGGAGAGGACTGTGAAGTGGATAACAGTACAGGGTTCTCCTACCCCACCCCCCCTCTGCTGGGCAAGGGGAGGGGGGGCACCAGGGTAGTCTCCTGCACTGTCAGCAGGGAAAAAGCTCCATCCTAAATTACCCTGTCCACCCTCCCTCCCCCCGTTTGTTGACCTGCAGAACCCCAGTCTTGGGTCCCTGTTGCCTGTTACCCCTAGGCCTTGCTGTCCCTTACCACCAGGCTCTGCTTTCATGCTGCCTGCCTCTTCCCTGAATGATCCTGCCCCCACCCCTCCAGATGGTATGCAGATACAAGTAAAATCTGGATCACAGATTGTGGATCAAATGATGATTTGAGCCTGGTAGATGCAGATCAGATGTGGATCCATATTTCTGTATCTGTGCAGGACTCTACTTATGTATCCAATCTACTCAGCAAGTTGGAGAGTACCAGGGATCAGATGAGGAAAGCCAAAAGCATCCTGGTGATTCTCAGCCAGTATTAGCACCCCAGAGTGGGCTGTTACACACTAGTTGTTTGAGGCCACTATAAGATACACCAGAGCTGAACTGGCTTCCAGACTAACTTTAAGACTAAGAAAGAACAAAGGTCAGGATCTGATCACACATTTCAGCTCTTGTACACACAGTTCATTGGCCAATTCACTCTAAACTATATATCAATAGGCCCTCAAATATTTAAAATTGTGATTATAGACTATTTATATTTTAATACACACACCTCAGTCTTTACAATTATAAAAATGAAATGCACTGGAATAATTCTTTAAAAAT